AAATAAAAAACAAGAGAGCGATATTTTTTTTCTTGAAAAAGTAGAATGCGTGACTTCAGCCAATATTCAATGCAACAACGAAGTCAGGAAGACGTATTTTAAATTTTGTATAAGTAGATCTCATCCTATTATCTTCAATTGCTGCGACTATAAAGATGTTCGCAAGCGGAAGTGGTGCGTTCAATGAATTCTGAAGAAACGGCAGGATATTAAAATATCAGATATTTCTTTTAATTAATCGAATTAAACTTTTCAATCGAAGCATACCCGACGTCAAACAATCCAAGGCCTTTGAAATAAAAAAATTCAGGGGTTGCAACGGAGTTAACGAGCAACAAATTAAAAAAAAAAAGGTATAGAAACTAGAGATCAACATGGACGAATCTGATCAAAGAGGCGGCGAGACGGGAACGCGTAGCGGAAACAACGATGGTCACGCTGTCACCCCTATGGGGCTTACGGATCCCACGGCATTTTCCGGACGAACGGCAAAGTTAACAAACGTATTCACATTTTCGTTCGTTAATCCCGCCACGAAACGACCCCGTATTATTCCTTCCTCTTCTTTTTTCCCTGCTTCGAACAGGCCACTGCCAATTTGTGGGAATATTCTCGATGCGAGGCGAGGAAATGCTCGCACATCCTCGCTGTTGAATCGCGAGAGGGAGGTCTTGTTGGTCCCACGAGAGCTCCTCCGCGCGCTAGTTACACGCGAGAGCACCTCCTCGCGACGAACATTAAGCAAGCGTTATAACAAGTGACGAGCCGATTCGCGATCTTTGCTGTCCCACGCGCGATTCCTCGCGACTCCACAAGCAACCCCTTAGCGAACCTTTTATGATTGTCTAAAAATTTGGAGAATTTTTAGGAAATTGTTTCGTAAATATATTTTGGATCGAGGAGAAACATCACTCTCTCTTTTTTTTATATAAAATCCAAAATATTCCATACCAAACTTTTCCAACCCCGTATAAACTTTCAATTGTGTTCGTTTCCACAGATCTTTTTATTTCAATCATTCAATTCAATCGCTTGTTTCTCATTGTTCTAACCGTTTGAATGGGATTGACGCGGATGGAAATCGTGTTCGACGAAACTCTCATCTATTTTTCCGCGCGAACGGATGTCGGACAAACGCGAACGTTGTTTCAACGCGAGATTAATTCACCGAACCGTAGAGAGACACATCGTTGAATCACAACGAAATCCCGTGGCGTGCGATTGTTCGCGTTTCAATCGGGCACACGACCGATCTCCTGAACTACATTTCACGTTTTGCAAACAATAAAACGCAACAGCAGACCGCTCGCGCTTACACGCTCATAAAATTCTAATCGAATGCAACAAAAAGAAAAAAAATTTCTCCCGTGCTATTCCACGGTTAATCACGAGTACGCTGTGTTTCGAACGCATCAACCTACTTGCAATTAAAAATCAAATCGAAATCGGACGTTTCGATTCTGCTTCGAAGACGAACGTCAGACGAATCATTTTCGTGGATAAAAATCGCATCCGATTGTCCCGTTAAGCGCACGGGGATCGGTCCCGGGAAAGAATTCTCTTTTCCTTTTTTTTTTCCACGGAGATGATGCTCGCACAACGATAATCGGGCGTAGCAATCGTGCGACATTCGCGATGAAGAAACTTACTGAATGAAAGGAAACCGGTGGTGGTTCACACGAGACCGGGCACGCACGTCTCTCTGCCTGCCCGACCATTTACCTTAAAGCGAGGCGATTTCCTTTTGCGCGTTATGATCCCACACAATGCTGCCCGGTACAACCTATCTGTTAGATTATCCTTCTGTACATACCATTACCTCGACACGCGAGCCGACAACAAAACGGACGGCCTCTGACGATCAGGAAAAATTGTTGCTGATGATGCCGATATACGGGGTGTCTCAATAATTGCATCTATGTACAAAATTTTCATCAATTTAGTCACGACGCACCTTGTGCGTCTTATACTACGTATCGCGTTCAATTCATGACGCGTGTGCGTGTTCGTTAGAAAATTGATAATTAGCGATAGACTTATCATTACGAGTGATGGTTAAAGAGTTACGATCGGAAGCAAATTAATGCTCCAAAGAAAATATCATTTGGCAATGTTATTTTCAAAATCGTCAGTAGAAGTTGGAAATGTTTCATGGTTTTAAATTTGACTTTTATCGGGCAATTCCAACGGAGAACCTGTCCCCGAGGAACGAGAAAGGGAAAAAGAGAGACACGGTGGCCAGCTCTTTCGCTACACCGCCGTACTTCCTGTCCAATCACGACTTTATCTGTCTCTGACGAATGCGTGCCAGGCGCTAGCCACCTGAGATCCCGCAGATACTAGGAAAGCAGACAACGAAGAAAAAGGTCGTACCTGTTTCCACGGGCGTGTTAACAGCCGAAACTCATAAAGACGTTTAAAGTGGCCCGCGAAAGAGAGAGAGAGAGAGAGAACGAACGTTAGTGTCTTCTTTTCCACCAACGCCTTACCTTATTCGATTCTTCGGCGTCGCCAGACACCCGACCATTCGAAAAAGGCGGCGACGGTGAATAGGCTGTTCACAGAAATTCTTGTCTTGTCTTGTCTTCGTGCACGGGCTCATTTTTATAACGAGATCGACGCCTCGAAGCTTAGGAACATCTTCGTTTGCCTGAAAATAAATGAAACATGAAAATTCTAACATTGGTATAAATAGGTAGGGTTCAGGATGGGTTTGAAACCTCCCAAACAATGTAAAGAATTGAAGTATTATAATAACAAATTTTTAATAAATGAAGAGACACCTTTCTGCTATTAAATTCACCCTTTGAAAAAGAACTTTATACATCGCCATCCTACATTGCCCATCGAATTTCATTCCAAGTTCGCGTATTAGCGACGCGTTTACAGCGTCCTGGACCGACTGGACGCGCAATTAAAAATTGATTTACAACAACCGTCGGGTCGCGTCGTCATTAAGAACGTTCGAGGAAGGCGCAGCCGACAGGCGTGCAAATTTCACGATAATTGGCGAACACGTCGCTCGCACGCCGCTAATATCACGATGGAATCGCGGTGAGCGAATCGATCAGCGAGCTTTAACGTCGCGGATCGACTTCGGTGTAATTTGTTATAGACAAGATCTCGATAAGTCCCTCCGTGGTTAGACTGGCCACCCTTCGCGCGATTTTATGATCTTGGATCACCTAGAATCTCGACCCAGATACCCTAATCACGGGATCGTAATGAATTCGACGACGATTTGTCCTTGCGAAACTTCGCTCTGAAAATTTTGAAAATTCCAATGGAAGTTGCTTAAAAACTACCAAACGGACGGCAGTACAGGATTCTCGAAACTTTCAGAGTGAACTATCTATTAACGAAGCATAATGAGCGCTTAGGCTTCCTAACGCTGAATTCGTCCGTAGGTGTTCGGTCCATCAGATTACGAGCAGGAACGAACGAACGAAATTTCGTTCGAGTCAGGGTTTATCGGCGTGATCAAAGGGATCGCGATACGACATTGACACGAGACCCGGCCCCAATGTCGTCTCTTTTCCATGACAGCTTCGCTATCTTGTTCTTTTCCTGGGACGGTCAATCCCATTATCTTGCTCTAGCTGACCTGCTAGCTGGGCGTAAAGTGGGCAGTTCTGTTCAGGAAGCATCTTCGATCTTCCGTCCTATCGATGCCAGGTACTAGTGAACCCTTCGGGGAAGTTGGACACAGATTTGCCGTTTCAAATTGATATTCTGACTTTTCAAGATCGTAAAGAATGGTTCAGAACTCGCAAGGTAGAATTGGGCATACTGAATATTGGGCATATAGTGCATTGTTGGTACCACCTAATTCATAGAGATGAAAGGGCTAGGAAGAACCTAAGGAGAGTTCAGGTCTCCTTAGGGGAGGCAAACTTAGCTCTTCCTATTTTCCCACAGTACTAGAAAAAATTATGGTTGATAATATTCAATACTAAAACTTCTTTAATCACCAACGACAATTCTACGAAACGATTTGTACATAAAATCCGGCCGGATAAATAATTTGACGTACGTATAATTGAACGTTACAGCGGTACGTTCACGAACGAAAGAGGGTAACAACGTGGTCGTGGTTGGACCATTCAGAATACGAGTTGTTATCGAATTATTTCGAGAAGAAATTGACAGGCGGTACCAAAGCACAGTGGTTAGGGGCCTTCACTGACAATGTGAATCTGTAATTAGAAGAGTGCCGTCTTCTGCTGCCGTTTCTCCTCCTCTACAATTCTTTTTTTCCTCTGTTTTTGTTCACGTAAAACCTCTTGCAGCTACGTATTATCGTCTTGAATCAACAGAACCGAAGCTAAGCGGTTCAAAAGGGAGATGCTGGTCAGGGATGAGTAAGGGGGACTCATCCCTCTGGCCACGAAACCAGAAAGATGGCACGAGAGGGACTTAAATAGTAGGTCTCGCTTAATAACTATGGTCCCAGGGCGTAAACTGAATGTCATTGCAGTAGATTCGATCACGTGAATCGGCACTGACACTGTAATACTGTCTGCCCTTTTATTATCAGATTCGTGGAAGAAAAAAACGAGCGAATTTTCCAATACCGATTTGTTATTCCACGCCACCGAATACAGTTCCCTCATCAGTTGAAACAAAAAATCGCTTTTGATCGTGGATACAATGAACTACCAAAATTTCACTTGTAGAGTGTTAAAAAATTACCTGTAGAGCTCTACAACGTTGGACATATCACCAAAAGTCGATGAGACCAATAGGTTAGCCAGCCTTCGTTGTTCATCAATCAGCGCGCAGCTTAAGTGATAAGACGCGTGGAGTAAAAGACTACCTTCCACCGCCGCCGCCAATCCACGACCTTATGCCTTAAAAAAGAAAAAAAATGAACATATGTTTATTTATTAATATAAATAAGCAAAATATTATCTGGAATAGTGTTAACAATGTCAAGTTCTGAAATTGAACCTGTTATGCCATCTAGGGTACATATAAGCAACTTCGATGACTTCCTACATGCATTGCAAAACTTCGGCATATAAACTGTATGTGTTTGATGTTATATTTAGTAGATCCAGTGACTACAATTGTATTATAGTTATTTAACGTATAAAATTATACAGTTTTAGTATATACGCAAAATATGTTACGATTGTCTGTAAAAATTAGTCGAAAATTGTTGCGTTCAAACAGAGATTTTCAGGTAAATCACTAACTCCTACGGTTATGATCAAGGTGCAGTTCAACTTTTTCACATTCATAATGAATACATTTTTCAGAAATTAAAAGAATGTAAATTCAGTCGTCTAGCTAATAATTCAACGAATGTTTTTTTAAGAAACAATTCCTTGAACAATGTTTATAAACATTCAAGAGTTCATAGAATTTTTGTCGTTCGTTATCAAAGTACAGTTGATTCATCGACGAAGACAACTGTACCAAGCATATCTGCACAACAGGCAGAAAACACAATAGGAAATGTAAATGTAAATGCCACAGAAGTAGACAAAGATTTTATAAGCGAAATACCAGGTGCAATAATTTGATACTTGCTCTAATAAATATTGATACAAGTAAATAGAAAAAAGCATGTATAATACTTATGTATTTTATATAGATGTACCTGTACCTCCTCCAAGCGAAGAACTAATAAATGTTGTTACTGAGGTATTACATGCAAATGGTGAACCTACATTTACAAGCTTAGGATTAGGTGGTTATGGACCAGTTGGAATTATGCAATATTCATTAGAATTGTTACATATTAGTTACGATCTACCATGGTGGGCAGCAATCACAATAATTACTGTGATTGTTAAAGCTCTATCGGTACCACTTGTAATAAGTTCAAATAAAAACAGTGCAAAAATGCAAAATGTTATACCACAACTAGTGGCATTACAAGAAAAAATGACAATAGCAAGAAACTGTGGAAATGAGATGGAAGGTATGAAATATATATTGCAATATATTAACAATGAAAAATTAACTTTACTTTTATTTTTAGTTGCTGTCCGTTCTGCTGAATTACAAACACTTCTGAAGAAGAATGATGTCTCTTTGTTACCAGTTACAAATGTAGTTCTTAGAGTATGTATTCCAATGTATTAATTTTAAATATTGAAACAAAATATCTGGCAATTCAATTAATTGTTAAAATTTCTTTTTAAATGTTTATTAGATTCTTCTACATGTGCCAGTATTTATGGCTTTGAGAGAAATGGCCAATTTACCTGTTGAAAGCTTAAAGACTGGTGGCCTTTGGTGGTTTACAGATTTAACTATTACTGACCCATATTATTTGTTACCCTTATTTACCAGTGTTGGATTGTTTTTAGTTACTGAACATGCATTGAAATCTGCTAGTACTCTGAGTCCACTAATGCAATATATGATGAGAGGAATACCAGTCCTTACCTTTGCATTTGCAATCAATTTTCCAGGAGTAAGAAACATTTATTTTTTTTTTTTATTGCTTTATGCGGCCATTCTTAAAATTTGTTTTTACATAAAATATGTTAGGCATATATTAATAAAACATATTGTTCTAGGCTATTTTATGTTACTGGGTTCTGTCAACTTTTATGACTGTGGTTCAAAATATAATTTTAAATGGCCCAAAAGTTAGAAAATATTTCAATATTCCACCACCGAAAGTACATAAAAAACAAGATGACAGTGTTTTAAAAAAGAAAGGCTTTATTGGAGCATTTAACGAAAGTAATTTCAAATGTGTATATATATATATATATTCTAAATATCACGTAATTTGTAATATATGTTCATTTAAACATTTTTTTCAGCATTTACTAATTATAACATATCTCGGAAATTGTCAAATCGTCTTCATGCAGACGAAATGCAATTTAACGCAGCGGCAAAAGGTCCTTTGAAAAAAACATTTAAATATAATCCTGTGACAGGTCCACCAAAGGAAATATCAGTTAGACGAGTTGTAGCAACGAAAAAATAATATTTGCTATTTGTGTAAGTAAAAGTTATTTGTAATTTAAATGATTGTATAATATACAATCTAATAATAAATAACTATAAAAAATATTTTCAATAGATCTTTTTACATGGTAAATTCATTGTTTAATTAAAATATGTATAATTTTAACATGTTCCTTACATCACTGGTATTTAATTCCCACACATTGATTGATTACCTCAAGTAGATGTTTATTTTCAAGAGCAGCAGCTACTCTTTCTTTGTCAGCTAACTGCTTATTTACTGCTGCTTCTGACTTATGTGTACCTGGTGTAATTTCTACGCTAACTTTAAACCTAGATGGTAGAACTCTTAGAAGTTGTACCCGAATTGATAAACCAATTAATGTTGCCATACTACAATGTGGTATTGTTGGAGTAAACTTTACATGAACTATATTTGCTTTATTATTAATCTGAAATAAAACATATTATAAATAAATGAAAATTAAGATATAATTAATACATTTCGATTACCTCAATCAGACTTTGCTCCACCACATTTAATTCTTCCAATGTTAGAGGATATTCAGGATCATTTATGTTCCTAATAAGATCTAGAAATCAATCTTAATAAATAATATCATTCAATAGAAATAAGGTTATTTCCAATACACACCAAAAATCTCACGTGCATCGAATTCATCTTCAATATCCTCATCCTCATCCTGCACAGTAATTTGTCTCTCATCTATTTTCTTGTATAATTTAGGGTTAATATTTTCTAATGTATCACTCATTTTTCGATAATAGAAACATGATAGACGAACAGACAGTGTTCCGACCTTGTATGGTGCTGCACCACATGGCCAACTCGTGCAAACGAGTAGAAATCAACAAACGACATTTAAATTCGCATTTACAACAACACGACAACATCAATTTAAATTTAAAACAAAATAAGTATTGTAAGGAAGCTAAAAAAATACATTATTCTGTTTTCCTTCTTTTGTATATATTATTTGAACGTTTATTCTAGCATTGAAGTTTTGAATTACACAGTTATAAATTTCCACCAATGGTAGTTAGTTGCTATCCACTCGACCAATCAGAATCGCAGGTATGACTCAGTACGTCACTTCCCGTCGAAACTTCGTCGTGAGTGCACGCGTTGCAGTAAATGAGATTAAATCATAGTAAAATATTATATTAAATTGTATTCCTGGTGTCAAAAGTATGAAAAATAGAAGAAAAAGTTGAGGAGGAATTCATATGGTCTTCAGAAATGCGTAAGGTGACATTTTTTTACTCTTGTCGTGAATTCAACTTAAGATTGGAACCGCGTTGTCTTAATTATTTCCCTTTTACATCGATAATTTCTTAAGCATTATTGAATTTTCTTATGTTTCTGTTACTTTCTTCCATAATTTATTGTTTTAAATTATGAAAATTGATTTCCACGTTGTGATTTTCACAGGAGAATTCAATAACGTTATTCGTTGAGAATCGTAATATCTCGCGATCGGTTCGCCTACCAGCTTCGGTATCGCCGAGCAGTTCCGAACGATCTTCGTGAGAGGGTCACGCCATTTCTTTCGTGAACGTCTAGGTAATAAGACGTGTTGAGGTTGTTCTTTCATGCGGGGATTAGAATAGGTAAATACATACATACACTGAGTTACATTGAACTTGTCGCAGTGAATTTGTAGCCAACTTCACTGCGACAAGTTCAATGCAACTCATTGTACATACGCATAGTTTATCTATTCAAATATTTTGCATAAATTATAAAGTTCGATCGTTTGTTAATCATAATCTTATTAATGTTGGTTAAATTTTATTTATATAAATTTGTATTTCTTCTTTGTTACAGATATTTGGTTGATATTGAAAAGACGCCACATGATACGACGCCATGAGATTTGATATGGTTTCAAACAAAATTCTGTAAAGAATTGGTAACGTTTTGATTTATTATAATTAACTGTTAATATTTATTATTCTTTTTCTTATTGAGTCGTGGTTAATTGTGAGCATTTTTGATAAGATTCCTAGATTACGATGTAATCTAGGATCAATATTCAATTTTAGTAATATTCGTGTTCGTTAAAAATATTTCACGAACACTGATATTTCCATTTACATATAACAACAGTATTTCCTTAACGAACATTCAGTAAGAAGAATGTTTTGTTTGTGTATTTCCATCCATCACATACCTCCTCACAAATCTCTTCTTCCAGGAATTGTTGTGGCCGCGTGCAAGGCGGTCGGTAGAGTCAGTGCTTGAACGTACATGCTTACGATGTTTTGGTTTTATCAAGGGCGAACTGGCCCTGAATAGAGTTGCGTTTGTACAATTAGGAATCACGCGAAAGTAGAGTCAGTGTTTGCTGCGTATTATAAAATATTTTCTAGAGCATCGCGGCTCTGATTTTTCTTTTTCCATCGCGAAAGTAGAGTCTCTATAATTGTTCGCCGGAAATTATTCACGGTCGCGTTATTAGTATTTCATATCTTTATTTTTATTTTTAATTTTTTTTTTTTAATTGCTCGATATATCCGGTATTAGAGTCAGTGCACCACTGAAGAGGAGTCTTGGGTGTTGCTCCATAAGGAAAGAGTGTAAGTATCTTATTGCTTTATTTAATTAATTTTAATTGAAATAGAATAATTTATAATTTCAATACTTGATAATTAAGAGTTCTTTTTAATTACTAACATTTTATAAAATCCAAATTCATATATAATTTTATTAGAATAAAAATTGATAATTTGCAAAATTAACCATAATTCTTTTTTGTTTTGTTACAGATGAATTTTTTTATTTTGCCGAGTTCCTGGACGGATCCTGATGGCTTTCTTCACGACTTCCGTCTTCTCCAATAAGGCAATCTCCTTCCTGGTTCTTGTGCATCCTCCTACCTACTTACTTGTTGTGCATCCTCCTACTCTTGACTGTCGGAAGAAGAGTATATCTGCGAACGGTGAGTCGCATGTTTTATGATTCCTCTGGTGCCCAATCATGTCGTAGGACGAATGGTCCGAATCGACACGGGTTACTAGTTGTATACGTGCTTGGCGAGCATAGTGACCATGGGTATTATACCCATGAGTAGTAACATGTTTATTGTGTTTCATTTCATTTAGCACAGGCTAGGTCTTCTTGTACTTCGCATTTAAATATTATTTCTATTCCACATATTCCAATAGATATTTATGAAATATATGAGTGCTTTTAAATGTTATAATAAAATGTGGAATATGAAATATTTTAATACAGAAACAATTTGATTTAGTTTTTCTTTAACGGAGAAGTCAGATACTATCTGATTTAGTTATTTCAAAGATTCAAATCGATATAATATTGTTAATATAATATGTATACTGGATATACATATTAATTATGCTTTTACATTGATTTAATTACATTTTGTATATTGTAAATTCAAATATAATTTGAGAATTTTTTACGAGGAGTAAAGTTCAATTCATTTCATGTAAAATTGAACAATTTATGTGCAAGAAGACAATTCGTGACGGGTAGATTTCTAAGTCAGAGTGATCTATTTCAACACATTTTGCGTATTCTTGAAAAGTTACTCTGAGGAGGGAGTCGCCCGAGGATGTTTTAATTTTTTATTAATTTTCACAATAAATTCTTTTTTCATTGTAAAGAATTCTTAATTAGTCATTTTGCTTTTAATAAAATATCAAATTCAATTTTGACATTAAATTCCTTTTTATTAGACTTTTGCCTTTATTAAATTAGTGTTGCGAGAAATTTCCGACGCGAGAGTAAATATGACGATGCACTGACTAGTATACGGTGGGAATCCTTTTGGTTTTTAATCTCAATTCTATGTATTATTTAATTAATCAAATTAGTTACAAGGATTCCGCGGCATAAGACCGTGAACACCATCTCTGGGAGATATACCCATGCATTACTAGGCCTTTGCAGGCGCAGCTTTAGAATACGGAACATATGAAAATATGTTACCATATTCTAAACTGTAGTCCTTTTGTCTATACTATGGGCGTCCGTCAATCTGACACCGTTGGATGCAACGTGTTGGACGGGCGGGTAGCGCTCTTAGCGAAGGGGTGCACTCTGTCCTGGCGTTACGACGTCCAGGCGGGGTGGGTGGTATGTAGCGTCTGGCGCAAGTCTAGGGGGCGTGAGACCCTTCGTTGCCAGCTGATATTAGCAGTGCACCATGTTTGCGTCATAGTTGCTCTATTTTACTTTTCAGTATTTGTTCTTAAAGCTTTATATTTACAAAGTCTAATCACTTTTATTAAAATAGTGAAATATTAGCCCGTTAGATGTTTATGTACTAATCATGTTTGTAGATCAGGATTTTCAGGTTTAATCCCTTCCGTGTTTATTGCCAAAGCCCATTCACGTGCCCAGGTGCTACTTGAATGGGTAGAGGCAATGGGCACGATGACCTAGTTCATAAGAATAATAATTAATAAGCGGCTGGCATTGTGTTAGTATATCGTGCACGACGTAATTTCCACATATGGTGTGTGTGTTTTTAGGCTGTGGGATTGCGTCGGTTTAATAACTTTTTCATTTACTTTTAATTTGAAATAATATTTTATTCAACAAGATGTACAATGAACGTACAAACCAAATAATATTATTACCATTACTATTACTATATTGCCATTACTATTACCATGATTATTACCATTATTATGAAATATTCTATATCAAAGTAGTTAATTAAATTTTGTAATTATCATTATACGCAATGATTGCTAGCCTTGCCAGCCGATTTCAGTGAAAAATGGTACGTACCGTAGAGTGTGATGTGAGATGAAACTCGGGTGACGGAGGCGTCCCGGGACGTTCTCCCTAGTTTAGGCTCTTGCGCCCGGGTGGAGTGTATGGGGTTCGTGGAATGAATTTTTGTGAGAATGTGATTTTGCCTTTTTTAAATATAGCGTTAGGTAGGTAGGTAATATACCTTCTGGTGTGTGTGATAGATTGTAAGTAGGTAGGGCCGGGACAGGTTGTCACAGTCTCTTGGTCGGGTAGTCGCGATTTCGCGTGATCAACCTGTACCTGGAATATATTTGAAGAATTGAGGATACCATCGATTCAAACGGAGTATGCCGTTCGCCTTCGATTCTATCTGTACAATTTTTCAAATTTTTGGCGACTTCATAAGTCGTCATACGCGATCGCGATGGCACGAAACGCACAAGTTCTGCTCGAGCACGGCACGTGTGCACGAACAACGACTTATATAAAGTCCTTTTTCGTCCACGTGTCAATTAGAATTTCGCGATTTTTCTTTTTTGTTGATTGTTTTCTTTTGTTTTGCGAATTTGCAAGTCTCGAGCTTTAGATATAAGTTTCAGGTGGGTGGACCGCCCGAAGAAAGAAAAGGCTATATGCCGAAGCGCCCCGACAAACTGTCTTTCAAGAGGGGAACTACTAATGATTTTGCATCCTTTTGCAAAAAAGGATGGGAAATCATTATCGTTACTACTTTGTCACTGTGCTCGCCTGTAGTTGTAGTTTTGTAATTTCAGGAGAAGAGGGGGCCCGTGACCCCCATGATTTTGGGCAAATCGCGTTTTCAATTTAGTGTTGCGAATATCGATCACGGTTCAATTTAATGTTGCGTATGCATGATTATCGCGATTTTCATTTAGTGTTGCGAACTTTAAATATCGCGTATCTTTCTTGCATTGCTTTAAAATAGAATTTAACTTTTTAATGTTGATTGCTTTAGAATTTTTCAATTTTGCTTTTTAATGTTCATTGCTTTAGTGTTGCGAGTAAAAGATTCACGGTTTGAGAATCCCCTTTTTTTGCATTTTAATTGCATGTCTGTTAAAGATAGCGTTGCGAATGACATTAGCGCGATTGTTTCCCAGTGTTGCGACTTATAAATACGCGATTGCTTTGCATTAGTTTATAGAGTTCCCTGTTAATTAGTGTTGCGATAATGAATATTCGCGGTTTGCATTAGAGTTGCGATATACGATGAAATGCCCAAAAACGATCCAGTGGAGTTGCCATGGTCCATAAGGCAGCTATGGACCAGCTGCCATGATACAGCCTTGGATTGGCTGTACCCCTTTTTTAGATTAGTGTTGCGTCTTACAAAATTCGGTAGATTTGAGTAGTGTTGCCAGGCGCGTTTTTTCTTTTTCCCTTTTTTTCAGCTTAGCGTTGCGCATAATGGAGCAGCCTTCACGCGTACGCTTTTGCATTATAAATATAATTAATGAAATTAGTGTTGCGAATGAATTCGCGATTGTTATTAAATTTCTCCCTCTTTTGCATTTATTAAATTAGTGTTGCGTGTAATTTCCGTTTGTTTTATAGGGTTTGCTATGGGATTGCTCTTATGGGCAGTCAAACTTTTCTTTTCAGGTTCCCCTGTACCCTCCCTGCCGCTGCCCCGCTCAACCTTTTTCTAAATTTTGAAAATTTTGAGCATTCGGATGTTGAAAATATTGTTAAATAATATATGAATTTAATTTTTTCAGAGTATTATTAAATACGATAAACTTTTAAATACAACTTTATTCAAAGTTTTATTTAAAATGAAAATTCATTTTATTTTGTGATGATTGGTGATCAATTATTTCAAAGAATATTTGTTCATTTAAAATAGCTTATTAAATATTAATTCTACTTTATTTAAACAAACGTAGTGGATGATTGTTGTTTTCAAGTTTACGGAAAAGCTAATTAAAGTAATGTATCCTTATAAATTTTTTAATTCTTTTCCTGTAAATGAAAGTCCACTCGCGATATTTTCTTTAGTTTTACAAATTATAATAAACTTGTGCTATAAAAATTCTAAATCTCCCAATGAAAGTCTCGATAAAATCGGTTCCTATAGGTTCAGGCGGGCATATCTCCAAAACGACTGTCTATTCCTGTTTAGTTTGTTTCAGAAACTACTCTGGTGAGAACAAGAACATCATATTTATTATAGATATTCATTTATATCTCTAGATTTTTGTTTAGGCAGGTTATAAGTTCATGAGAATTTAGGAAAATTACCAAACTTTATGACGATAAAGTCAGGTAATTGATAAAGTATATATAATAAGTAATCTTAAACACTGTAGTGGTTAATTAGTTTGAATATTTTACATTTAAGGTAATTTTTAAGATGATTACGAGTGCTCGTATAGACTGGTATCTTTAGTATTTGTAAGTTGGTAAGACAAATATGCACTTGCATATTATCAATTACAGATCTGTAATCAGAATTAAAAAATGTTGAAGTATAATTAAGAAACAAAAATATGAGTAGATAAGTAGATAGGTAGGTAATAAATAAAAATAATGCTCCTTTTGTTGTTCGTTTGCACAACAGTCTAAAACGTTTTGCAAATGTGCATCAAGAGGATGATATTATTAAATAAAAGTAAAAATTTGCATAAACGGAGGGTGGATGGGATGAGGATAGGGCTGCAAAATGCAGTAACTTTCTCGTGATAGAACTCGGGCAATCAGTATTATTTGATGGATAATAAATTAATTATCTAGCAAATAATGAGCAAATTGGCTGTGAGATTTATGAGTTGTGTTTCTGTTTTATCTGTGCTGTACTTTTGCGGCAACTGGGCCTTCAAAATAAATGTAGATTTACAGAAACAAACTTATTAATAGTAAATATTTGTTAGTATTGTTCTGTTATGAAACAGAGAATGTAACACTGTATTTACCAAAAATGATTTTTTTTGGTAAATTCTGATTCTTGTATATGCTAATTTGGATGTTGTTTACAAATCTCTACTATTCTCTCTCTTTTTTGAAATAAACGTTGAATGGACATATTCTGTTGTTTTATATTTGTGATTTGTACATTTCTGGCAGTATGTAGGTATTTGCTGTCTTTTAGCTGTTATGAAGTTTCCTGTTTGTTAATGTTACTGTTGGCTATTCGCATTTTTATATCCTAATATGCTTTAAACTGCTGTGAAGGGTTCATCCCTTTTTTTGTCGTGTTATCTGATTTAAAACCCCAAGCACCACGGTAATGGGCTCTGAAAATGCAGAGATAAGGGAAACGTGGAACGAATATTACCGGAGATTATTTATATACATAATTTTCATTCGTTTTAGGGTTTTCTCTTTTTGGATGTTAGGTATATATTTCAGTTTTATGTATATTGATTTATATTTTGTTTCAAGTTTTAATTTTTCCTCTTCTTTCCCGTTAGTTTAAACGGGAGTAACAGATCAATAAATAGTTCTTCGTTGATGAAACGTTTATCGAGAAATGAGAAATAATAGTAAATCAGGTAAATGCAATTGCATACGTGAAACACCGATTATGTCTATATTTAGTACGAAGTAAACTACCTCTATAGTTGTTTTCATTCGCATTTATACACAAATATATACAATATGGATTACAATATATACGGCGTTAATACAATTGGTCACGTGCTCGTGTAATGCGTGGTTACTAATTGTGATCGAGTATGCAAACGTATATCCGGGCTCTTAATAAATATTGAATACCAATAACATTGAGCAAATAGACAAATTATAACATTATTTATAAACAAGTATGAAATTCATACATTTACTAAAATATATTTTTCCTGTGAATGGTATAATTACATACGAAAACTGATAAATAGAAAATTATATATTTAATAAATTAGTTTCGAGATGATTATTAATATATTCTTTAATCGATCATTAACTGCAAGAATTCGCATTCATAATTTCGTTATAACTTTTATATCCATAGATAAATGCAGTGTATTTACGCGTTATTTACAGAAATAATCGAGACAAGGTTTTGTATAAAATTACATCGTACCGATCATTCAAAATACACAGATGCAAAAGCTAACGGAGGTTTAATAATTAGGTGTTAGGCTTAATTTCATCCAGTATCTTAATCGTTTGAGTGCCATGAGTAATAATATGATTCAGCCAATTATTTAACAATTTACGTTCTAAATTACTCAGATTGTTGAAATGCTGATGTTTAGTAATGTAACATTAGAAGCGTGCTATTCATTGGTGTAACTAGATTTTTTTCTCTGGAATGTATTAGTTAATTTGACTAAAAGTGTCAAGTGTTTAATGTTGATAAATTTTTACTTAGTTTCTTATTATGTTTTTTTATTTATTTTTGTAATTTTTTATGTAAAGGGATAGGCAGTGCATATTTTAAGGGTATCAAATACACCATAATTCCAACTTAGCTACACCAGTGATGTTAATATTAAAACTGATTCTCTGACAGCTTAAAATTGAAGAAAAAGCAATCGAGCTGTATGGCATTCAAACGGTTAAATCATTTTTCAATTTTTGAACAAAAGTAGTTCTTTTAATTAATGTTTCTTACAATTAATGCAATAATTATCGTCGTACACATAATCTTTACTTTTTTTTTCTTATTTACAAGCACTCCTTATGAACATTGCTCGTGCATGTTCACCAAATTGAACGGAAATGATTCAGTGTCTTTCTCGCTGCTAATATTATTATTTGGAAAGTGTTCATAGCAGATTAATTAATTTACCTGCTTATATTCTATGGAAAGTAATATAATTTTTTTAGATCACGCTATCACGTTGTTTAATCGTTTATCTTCATAGAGATAGAACATTAGCAAAAATTACAAGTAATACTAATATGATACAGTTACAAAAGATATGAAATGAAAAGAGAATAAACAGAAAAAAACTACTAAAATGAAATAGAATCCATTTATTAGTTATTACAAAGTGTATTGAACAGTTTCCAATACAGATTTTTGGCTTGATTGCTAAAAACATTAGGGTTTTACAATAATACTTGTACACGAAAACATACATAAAATAAGCTTGAAAATTTAAATAATAAAAATCACACACCTTATCTTCAGGAAAATTAGTGGTAACAAATAAAAGTTTGAAAGATACCTCAGTAAAATGAAGTTTTACTAACTCAGGAAAATAGAAGAGAGAAACGCCGTTTTGAAATTCTAGACTAATTAAGAAAACCCATCAAAGGCTGAAAGATCAAGTTTTAATCGCATGCTAACGAGATAATAATTATTTGCATAAAAACTTTCTGAAATTGCATCTACTTTCTTAGTAGCTATTAAATTTTAACTTGCCGGAAAAATGATCAGCTACACTAATTAATTTTAGGCACACTTTTATAAGTTTCCGATATTATCCTCCGGAAGATAAATTTCAATACGATTGTATTCGGCTCAACTTTTTTTTATTATTGCAGTAAAAGAAAAAAGAGAAAACAAACGGCGAGATATTTTTCTGGAGGAAACGGATATCTCATAAAATGTATAACATTCATAGATCCAATATAGATTTCCTCGGTACTGAATTGTATTTAATTTTACAAACGTGAAAACCTCCTTTCGGCGATCTGTATAATTAGAATTCTCGTACACGAAATTATATACAGAATTCTCGTTTTTCTTTCTTTAGTCTGATAGGCTTTTTTCGTACGAAGGACTAGAAGAGCTACACGGGACAATTTATTTACAACTATAACGTCTATTATAATTCTTTTTTCTCTCTCGCTTATTAATCGTAGGTATGAATAATTTCAGATTTGCTTCTTAATAATCACATAATACAATAATGAATTATTAACACTTTAACGACCGCACATTTCACGGGAATAATTGACTCTTGCGAATTTAAACTTCTTTCCACACTTAAATAGAATTATATTTATGAGTTTTAGTTTATGTACGCTATAAAATTAATTTTCCCTAATTTTTTAATTGTAATTAGTATTTAGATAATTAGATAAAAATTAGATAAAGAATATACCGGCCATCAAAGTGTTAATAGTCACGCGACACAAAATAAACATGTTTTATTCGTTACATTATTAAGCTTACAAAAGGATATTTCTCTTTTTTAAATACGACACATTGTTTTATGAATCAGAATTTTTTTTTATAAACGTTATTAGTCATTCGTTCCATGCAATAGCGAGATATTAATTAAAAATTAGGCCTAATTTAATTAGACGCGAACTTTGGTGTGCACACAGTCCCGACTTTCGTTCAATCAGGGGTTTTTTTAAAAATTATCTTTGGTATAGAATATATATTCACAGAACGATGAAATAGTAATTTAAATTAAATACTAATCACTTTTTCGACGTTTATGTATTATTAGAACGATAAAAACACCTGAGTGAGTTCGAAGTTTCAGTACGATTAATCGATAAATTAAACTTACCGACCTTATCAGCGTAAAGTTTCAAGTACTAAGTTGTTGCAGACGAAATGACCTACTTAATCACTAAACTTCCAACAACTATTAGCAGTGTTAAAGATAATGTTCATTAACCAAAGCTTCAAAATAATTAATTGGTTGAGGTTGCTTATTTTAATTGGTTATAAACTTCCTTTAGAATTTTCTGATTGAAGTTCATCAAATTAGTGTAGTATAGTACATTCATTAGCTTTGCTTTCTTCAAATTTTGTATTCAATTTCCAGTAGCTTTTCCAATAGTATGCTATTGCCAGTAGTATGCAACAACCTAATACATAGACAGTGTCTCCTTTTCTCCCTATCTTTTTATTAGATTATTTTCATTCATTGTCGTTATCGTGATGCTTCTTCGGGATAAATAATATACTATTCCTTTGCAGAAATTGTACAGTTCACTTTCATCAAGCAAGTGCATTATCCTTCGTTTTTTCTAGATAATCTTCGTAATTTCGCCGTAATTAAATCTTAACACCGCATATTGTCGCAGTTATTTACACGTATTAAAATAACTACACATTCAAGTTACGTATAATCAATATATCCAATCGATCTTCTGCCTTCCCAGTGTCCACATATATATTTATATCTGTGTATTTATATCTGCATGTATATATATAAAGTTCCATACATCTTATTTATTTAAACAATATATTATAAATCTGACATAACACGAAGAGTAACAAACACAGTCTACAATATGACTCGAACTATAATACGATCAAATTTTGAACAGTATTTACACATCACCCCTTGAGCTGGCTTTCATTTCTCTCTCTCTTTATTTTCATATTTCTCTATTCCTTCTTCTAATCCACTCAACAGGTTCTACCCTAAATTTTTGGTTTTAAACCGCGTTCACGCTAGTTACAATACCGGTAAACTAGAAATTTCAATACAAGTACAAATAACGTTCTAAACAGCTCATACATGTGTGTGGGTACGCTTGTGTATGAATAAGTTCGTAAACAGGACTTTCTGGTGCAAACGATGAACATGAACGCCGGCTTAATTTCGACGAGGTTCACTTCTCGAATTTACAAAGAGACCACGCTTAATCTGGGCATACGATGTCTGTCGCTAAGTGTCCTTAGGTTTAACAAGACAGAAGGTCGAAATGGCTGGTCTTCTTGACAAGCATTTGCCAGTCGTTTGGGGCTTCCTTTAGGCAGCAACCTGAAATCAAATGTTTATTCCATCATATAGTTTTATAGGAACATTGATTTTTCCTGTTGAGAGTTGAAAATTGCAGCTACACTCAACAGAGTATACATATAAGAATTTGATTCCAAAGCATATTGATTATGCGATGAAAAATTCAGTTACTTACCTAGAAAACAAATGGTTACTTGAACATACTGACGAGCGCCAGATGCATCAAGATGAGGAAGATGTTAATTGACAATCGACTAGTGAAATTCCCTGTAACCAAATTACAAATCTTATAATAGAATCGAGCAGTATTTATCTTCTGAAATAAAATCTAATCAAGTTCTCTAGTGATCATAGTTATCAGTGCAGTATGCAATTAAATCCAGACAGACAATAACAGTATGTAAACAACTTTTGCATAAACATTCGTCTACAAAGAAATGAATAAAAATCCATTTATGCATTCTGAGTTAACATAAATCTTGTAAATACACTGATGATATTCATTAAATTCAATCCATTCAATAAAATCATTTTAATCATATTAAAAGAAAATCCGTGCTTTGTATCTTAGTACACGTGAACGGAAAATCACTGAAATCAATTTAATGGGGAACGCGTTAATCGTAAACATATACACCCTTTCTTCTCTTTCATTAACGTCGCAATTGCTATCGGCTTGCACTTTGCATAAATTTTTATTTTAAGCGCTATTCCGGTTAACTGTTAATCGATACTCGATAAACACTTTGATGAGTTGAGGAAAATATCTGCGTACCGGAAACTACAGTCATGAATACCATCATTTCCCTTTTACGGACGTCATTAAGCTTTGATTACTATCCTGCCAAAAGTTGTATGATATACGACGATTTAATGTTACGATATTATGGCCCCTCGCTTTACGTGATTTTGATTACTTAGTGGTTTTTTTAAATACAATTAACGATCCCATAAATATGATTTATCTACTTCCTTAAACATAGTATCCCAGGTTATATCCGAACCTTTTTTGGGCTAAATACTTTTGACGAGTATACCTTTGACCGCGAATGAAAAACACCGTGTGAATGGAGTCCGCGTATAAGGAGTACCGTGAAAAGCGAGGGCCAATGTAACTTGTTCGTACACCGGTGGTACTGTAAGTAAGTCATGGGCGGCTAATGTAAACTGCATGTCTTTAAATTAAGGGAGTGTGTCCCGCAAACTGTGCCGGTTCCCCTTTATCTCTCCTTCTCTCACCCCTGTCAGCAAAGGGAGTTCCCATTAGCCATAAGAATTATGTAACTCCCGTTCCTTCTTCGCCTAATTACTTTCTTATTTGCGAGCTTTCTTCTTTTACCTATAACTTCCTCCATTACCTTGGAAACCGTTTCCATTACTTGAAACATTTATTTTTTGCGTCGGGCTGCGCGATTTAATTATCGAATAAAAAAGGGAAACCTATAGTGGCTATAGGTTTGTTGGAATATTCCCAATGGCGACTTTTTCATTAGAATTATCCTACCTAGTATTATGAGGCAATCGCTATAATTGGTAATTTTCAAGTAGTCTCAAAATTACGTGTAAAACAAATAGAATTACACATTAACTTCTTCAAACATCTCAGAATATGGCTTTTGAACATGTACGGTTCTTCAACTCATTGATTCTACTGTAGAATGCATTTCATATGGAAACACTTAACGATTCAATTTTATATTAGCCATAATCGCGAACGTAGGAGGTAGTTCAAATTGAATACCGCTGATTCCGAGCAGTTGAGCATATGTATGATAATAGTTCACCGACGTTGCTATCTGATGCAAACGAGGTCTAATTTCCACAGTTAATTAGTGTACATTGTTGGCTGCATCGTGCGATCGTGCTAACCTAATAACGATTGCAAATTAAGTTCCGAAGTCTTTTGTCTGTGTTACGCATTTCATTTATTCCGCTCTGTAAAGCGATGAAGCAAAAGGAACTTCTTAAACAAGATTAATACCTATAAATTCATCTTTCTGCATGCAACATATTTGTGATCACGGTGTATTATATTCTCTTCTATTATACAACTTTCATCTCATTACAGAAATTTAATTTACTTTTTCACGTCCTTCGATTCAATTATTTTACTCTTTTCGAATACTTTTACAATCTTTGGGTTGGTAAAAGTTTCCGATTAATATTCTTCTTCTCGTCTTCGTTTCTCCTTTCCTTTATATATATAAAACCATCTTCAATTAGAAATTTCATGGAAAGAAAGTTACACGCAGTTTCCTTTTGATGAGAGTCCCGAAACTTTAACGTATTTCCGACGATATGGATCGACGAAGTGCTTGATAGCTTATCACCGAGGAAATTCGTGCAGCAGTATGTAAGAGGAGAAGGTATCAACGCAACCTCAACTTTGGCTATTTATTAGCGTGGCGTAGTAATGCCAGTTAATGAGCTTCAAGGGGAAATACCGCTTCTCTTCATCTTCTTGAATCAGAAGTTACGCTGTTGCTAGTTTATTAACCTTATCCTTCAACGACACTCGATCATCAGTGAAAACATTAATCTTTCGTATCATCCCTTAACCCTTCTGACTTTTCTATACACACTACGTATTACTTTATATATACTCTTTCCTTGGACAACTAATTATAAAATATTCATTCGGATGAGTATAAAAATGTTCGCATATCAATTCCATAATACTTTCGGTGGTTCGGCACTGACAAAATTAATGGCATAAATTTCGATGAATTTATTAAATTTCCTAGTGATTTTTTTATCATCTGCTTAAAATAAAAACGAAGGAAGCAGGGAGGGAGTTAATATTCGTTTTCTTTTTTAGAAAATATTGATTTTCACTTTAGGGACTTTTATATAATTTTCTATTTCTTCAAAGTAAACTATTTTATTCTATGTATATTTCTAGAATAGGAATTGTTGATTTTATCAACCCTCTTTACTAGTAAATTTATATAAACATTAATCCTGATAGAATATTCATGGGAAAAATGCAGTTACACTGTAAAGCAGGTTGGAACCATCTGGCGGTGTTTATTTATTTACTACGGCTAGGAGTTATGATGTGTTACCACTGCATAGGGTGCACAAACACTAGTTATTTTGATAGCGAAAGCATCGTAATTAGCGTATAAATATTTTACTGATCAATGCAGAACGTGGGTGTTAATATTGAGGCGTATTGATGCTGCAACTAATAATTTACTTCATAATAGTAAAGTTAATGATGTTGCAATAAAGTTTTGTTCAAATCTGTTTATGAACAAAGCTTTTGGTTCATCTTTCATTATCTCTACGTTTTTTATAGAGAATGAAATTTAATTTTATTACATAGCTGAAATATTGCAGAGGGATATTATTTTATATTAATAACGCGAAGGATATTCTCAATCTATGTTACTCGGGTTAGGTATGAATTCATTTATAAAAGGAATTTTAGCTAATTTTTCATTACGTTTGAAAATATAAGGTTTATTAAAGTTGTAAAACAGAAATAAAAGTAGAGATCAAGTAAAGGGGACAGAATAAAATTCAGGGCGTCTGTGACTAACAGTTTAAAAATTATCAGAGGAATGTAGGTGTCTTATTATTAGAAAACAAGTGTCAAAAGTGCAATGAAGTGCAGAAAACACGATGCCAAAAACAAGCTGTCTGAAATGTGGTTCGTAGCGAATGAAATTTCGGGCTGAAATGAAATTCACGTGTACGATATTACATAGTTCCGTACTTAAAATACATTTCAAAAGCTTTTGCAATTAGGAGGCTAACTGTTTCAAAACAATCTAGATAACCATGTATAAAAATTTACGTACTGTTTCATTAGGAGATTTCATGTTTGTAAAATGGATAAAATTGTGCTTGAGTGCTTGTAGACTGTATACAGTGTATAAAATATTCGTTATTCCAGCCAAATAAGTAATTCTCGGGCTCAAATCATGATTAATTAAATTTTCTCGCTGTCGAAGTTTCTGTGAATAAACACTAATTAATCTTTGAATGAGGCAGCCGGATCTTTGTTGACCCAACATATGTTTTCCAATTTAAAATTAATTATAAATCCTTTTGCTTTTCTACTTTTAAAATACATTATTTCCTTAAATACTACTTTTCCAATGTATGAAGTATTTTGTTTAAAAATTTAGGTATTTAAAGGTGAAAGCATCATTGCATAACATGTTTCAAAAGACTGGGTCATGATTAATCTGACTGCACAAATCGAGGGTTAATTAACCCAAGAAAGAAATGTCTTTTACTAAACTGAGGTTACTTTAATATTAAACCTAAAGACATAAACCGAGGTAGATAATCTTTTGGAAGTTTTCCAAAACATCCAACTTTGCTTTAAAACTTAAATCGTTTTCTTCGGTACAAGTGAATCTCTTTCAAAGCCGAATCATTCAGCTCGATCAGTTCAAGAGAGTAAAAAACCACGTGCTTCTTGTCGCGTTCTTCAGATTCCTCTCTAAGAAACCGTGACCTCGAGGTTCTAAAGCGATTTTCAATCGTTCGAATCAGTGTGGAACGTATCTCTGTGTGTGTGTGTGTGTTGTGTGTAAAGAGGATTGTATCAAGAAATCGAAATCCCGCACGCAAAATTGACAACACTATCGATCTTGTTAAAGTTTCCAAATCTCATGAACGATAGTGGCTTATGGTGGTGATATCGTGAATAGACGAGGAGAAATTTACAAGCCTTACCACCACCATTGCCAGTCTCTGAGTTGTCTGGCGCTTGGATCTCCATTTTGTGCTGTAGCTTCGTTGTTGCAGTTGCAGTAGTAGTAGGCGTTCCTGCACAATAAACACCACATATCGCGTCCATCAAGTAGTAAGCATAGATATTTTTTACGAACTGGGTAGTAATGTTAGAAACGGAGGCAGCCAAACGCGCTATTAGTTTTCACTGGATCGCAGCATTTTACATTTTGTAACCTTTATCCGGCACAAATTAATAATGAGCCCCTATAAACATGCTCATGACATATTCAGATGGTACTGATCACCGTGGTTTAGAAATACCTATTCTTGAATAGAGTAACTATAGATTTAACAGTTGGATATTTAAGGATTCCAATTGTCAAGTAGACCATCCGGATAAAGGTTCACTATATTTGATGATTTTAATAAGTAATTGGAACATGAAAAGTACATAACAGAGAAACCTTAACGTTTTACATTCGGGTCGTACGTCACAGCTAGGGAACAGAAATGATCTCTGATAATTTATACGATATTGAATTTATTTATATTTTGTAAATCACTGAAAATATGATTCAATTTCATGCATGTAAATGCACGATAAATTCAGCCATAAAAGTATCGAAGTGTAAATATCTATCTGATTTTGTTCATTGAAATTGATTTCGTTGGAGTTTCGAGTTTATTTTACAACTTGATTTTTCTGGTTAAATATTTTTTTAAATTCCTTCCAAATTGATTATCATTGGAATAAATGTACTAAAAGTTTCAGTGTATAATAATATCTTGGCAATTTGTACTCCATAAAATTGAAGTTTCAACATTTTTCATAATTATACATAGATTTTCATCAAATAGTAAATTTGTAACATAGTTTCCACTGCAAAGAGTCTGTCTGTTTTTAACTACAAATTATGGCTGATTTATACTCTTAAATTTAGAATGAATTTGTGTTATTGTTAAAATGGAGGTGAAGAGAATGAGGTGAAGAAAGTGTGAAGGATGAAAGAAACAAAAAAAAAGTTTCATATCTCTGTCGTGGCCTCGTTGAGAGATTTTATGTATAAATGGAAAGAATTCCTCTGGTGTATACAATTTACTTTATGAATTGCATTGTGAAATGAACATTAAAAAACTTGGATCGTTAGTCACAAACGTAATAAAGGACTAACTAATAAATCAAACAAAATCGATAAATAAAAATACAGTTTATAAACAAATTTAGTATACGCATGCATTCAAATATTCGTATGATGTTCCATTAACCTTCGAAGGACCGACTGAAAATGGAGACCTGATAGGCCGATAACGGGTTATTTGTTATCCTTAGTTGAATTTTTATTATGTACGTGTTAAATTTATTTTTCCAATATAAAATACTATCTACACGTACACGATGTACATAAAATATTATTAAACCGGTCAATAATGACTGTTTTTGTTTTCGTCGCGTAACATAAAAGGTGAAGATCAAAAGTGACCCAGTATCAACTGGGCGAAGGTTCACATAAAGCTCCACAAAAACGATTCTAATCTGATCATTATTCTAACCGCAGCATCGAGCGACCAAGCAGCCTTGGAATCCTCCTTAATTAGACGTTATAATTTATTATACACGTCTGCCATTATCGTCACAAGCAACGTCTTGTGTCCCTAAGATGACATTCCAACAACGACATTTAGGGCTCAAAGGGCAAGGTCCTAAGAGGATACCACACGTCAAAGGATCAAATAGTAGGACTGGCGTGTAGATCGCGTTTATTCACAGACGGTCAGGTATTTTGCGGTGAAACTTGTAGCCACGTCCTTCCTCTTGCCTGATTATCATCTTGCCCGGAGAAGGGTTTCAAGCCTCATTCGGTTGCAACAACTTACGGTGAGACGAAGGAAAAGGGCTAAATTACACAGGTTAAATTGCTTGTGCTTCCAAGCAGCACGCCTTGCCTATTATCGTCCAATTTTCTCTACGCGAACTAAATTTTCCAAGTTCCTGAAGATCTGAAAAACCGGCGCAAAGGCGTTGGAGGAAAGAGAAGGATAGAAAAGGGAGCACACCGTGGTGTCTTGGCTGAAACATGAGCCACGGTGTGACGCTTTTACAGGGGATTCTTCGTTAGCCGTTCGTTCCACGTGTTTGCCAATTTGCGCCAGTCTATTCGACGGGCCCGCGCGTGACAAGCATCGCGATTCGCTTCGCCAACTTTCACGGGGCTCGCTTATTATTGATACGTACTACTGCGAGACTGAGGATTCAGTGGAGCAAGTGTACGTAAACTCCAATCGACTGGCAATTAACTTTACGCGTTCTCTAACACGTCGAATGCCTTAGGGGGTTATCGGTGACACAAATTGTTTTTTTTTTTTTTTATAGCGTTAATATTATACTAATAATGTAAGGCAGCAAATTAAAAGGTTAAAATTTAAAATGTACAAATTAACTACCCTTATTTTTAATAATTAGAGTTTGAAATGGGTTCCAATATTGAATTTTTCAATGTAAGATTGCTTGAATTACATTAACTTCATCGCTTTTCTTTGTGAAGGAGATGAAGACCTTCGAAATGGCTTCGAGTTTCAAAATTAAAACCCATCGAAGTTTCAATTTTTATGAAATGACCTTCTTATTTAGTTTCTTAAAAAGGGAACAGGTAATCGCTATACTCTTCCGCGATTCTGAATTGAAGTTAGGAAATTACAGAAGTTGGATTTTTATCATTTTCACGAACTTTAAATTTCTGATGAAGATACTATGGATTTTCAGTTACGATATGATAGTTTTCATAGTTTTTTTTATCGAGGGAAAATTTACGCGACTGTAACTTTTATCATGAGAGTTTTATTAATTTAAAACTATTGTCTCGGTGTAGGTAATAGATAGAGATTTTATAGTATTTTGTAAAATACTGTTACACAATTTTTCTGTCATTTAACAAATTTGTCGTTGAGAATGCTGCACTTGTACGTGTCATTATTTCTTGTTTCGTTTTATCACCGCTCTATGCGAAAAACTAATCCGGTCAGGACCGAGTGCCGGAAGTCCGTTACGTAGCGTCGCAATATTACCTCGTGGAAGCGGAAACGCGGAAGAGCGCTACGGTTTAGCGCGCGTAAAGATAGACTCGTGAAAAAAAGAGAAAAATACGTGAATTGCTGTGGCGCGCTGGTAGGGGATGATTTATTCGGTGACCGGAAGAAAGAAATCGTTTTCCTAGAATATCGTGCGACAGATTTTACACGAATTACACAGGGATGAATTTACAAACGGTTGATAACGTTTAGTTTTTTTAAACATATATAACACATTTACGAAACATGTATAGTGCACAGAGGAGACAGAATTACATGTATAGTGGCATTCAGAAGTTTGGAGCACGTTGTGGTTTCAAATACATGTCTTCCATTAAGTAAATATTTGTTTCACTCAAAATATTATTATTCTATAATTAAAATTACTTAATTGATTTCAGCTGTTATATTGTTGATTTAAATCTACAATTTCTGATATTAGGCTATGGAATTAAATTGCAAAACATAATATTTTCTCACAAAATATCTGTGATATAATTTAATTTTAGTCTTCAAGCATATTCACGATCAGTATAATTACAATATTTCTAATAAAACCATAGCATACTTAAGTGATAACCAGCAGTTCTCTACGTTTATCCTTTTCTTTTATTTTATACCACGACAAAGATCGAACATAGAATGTTTTCAATCGACGGACAGCGGAGAAAAATAGAGGACCACATAGAGATAGAAACAAAGATAAATAGGATAGATTAAAAGTACGTTATACTAACCGGGATAGTAGACGGTTTGCTGGGATACATTGTAGTTTGCCTTTGGTATACCGAGCAAGCATTTGACAATCGCTGCTTCCGGTAAATCTTCGTCCAGTAAGGCCATTCGTGATAAGATATCGTAGAGTCCATCGTCACGCAGCGTAACGCTGGGCTTCGGTGTCTGCTTTTCCGGTACACCCCTGCAATAGAAGCGACGTTTGCAAAATTATCATGGTCACGTTAAAGCCAAAATATCATGCAATATGTCGACTGAGCATGTTAATATTATTTCACCGACGTACGTTATGTTGTTGCTGTTGTACGCTTTGCGCGTTTGTCTTCGAATTGCTTTTAAAAGCATGTTTTCACGTGACGGTAAATCGGGACTTTTATTGCCATCACACGAAATTTCATGTCGCTTTCGTGTGACATTGAAAATGATAGCTTTTAGTGTCGCAACACCATGACACTTTTAAGCTACCTTTTCACTTGGTATTATAGGACGAATTTTATTGTCGCGACGAGAAATGTTATTAAATTTGTCATTGTCTCGATTTCAATAAGTAATAATTTTCGAAGATGACGACCAAATAGTAGACTATTAACCAAATTAATGGTTTTTATAACTGGAGTTTTAAATATTTCTGTACGAAGGGTGATATAATGAACGATTAAAATGATAACGATATTTATTTAGCAGAGTTTAAGCTTCGCTTTGTCACTGTTCCCGCTTTGTACGTTTCAAGTTTATTGTTACAGATAACACGAGACTGTCTCACAGTTTCCATTGTTATCGTTGAGAGGTTTGTGAAGTTACAATAAGACTTTTACTTCTGTTTTCATTTGAACCCTTTTATCAGTCATATTTCCTCTATACATCTCGATTACTGTAATACATCCGAGTAAAAGAGTTTTTATTGTTACAACAGCTACAAGAAATATTATTTCTCTCGACATTTAACTGAAAGCATAAAAGCTTTCACGGTTATTACGTGTAGTTCGTATTGCCGGTACTTTCGACCACTTCTCTATTTTTTCGCCCTTTTTTTTTTATTTATCGTAACATCGTGTCACGTTAAAAATATTATGAATGCTGACAGCTGAATAACGCTTCAAAACGCATAAGCATTCTGAAAATATAATGAGCCTTTTCCATTTTCCTCTGTTATCTGTCGTGCTTGAAACGTACTATGCTTCTGTTGACATATTTCTTTACTTTTCATAATTGAGTGAAAAAAAATTATTACTTACTGATTTCTCGGAATATAGAGATTAACACAGTAGGGAATCCGTTTGGTTTAAAATGATAAAATTGAAGTGGCGAGAGAGACACACAGGAAACGATAAAAGCGATACACTATGTGTAGTCTATAGACCGTTTAATTTATTAAATGGAAGCAAAAATCTGTTTTTATCAAGATCTTGAAGTATCAGAAAATTGGGTAGTTCACTGTAGTGCATGCTTGAGGGGTTGGTAAGCTTTCTGGAGTACTTACTCGATGAATATATCCAGAGTTGGTTGTGGATATAGCCCTTCTGCCATACACGTTATCTCCACTCCATCCTTATCATCTATGGTCTTCTTTCTGTACAAAAGATCGAATTTGTCCCCCGTTGCTGGAATAAAAGAGAAGTTTCGTTTAATTCAAATAATGCAATCCTTAATAATTAGATAAGGTTCATTGTTTACGAAATCATGAGAAGATCTTTCACAGTTTTTATTATAAGACCAGATTGCTATTTTTGATTATCTCAAAACGCTGAAGAATATAACGTGGGTTATTCTAAAAAAGTGGAGTTTTAAACGGCTTAAAATTTATAAAATGAAAATAATATAAAAATTGAATTAAAATTGCGGCTCTCTTCATGGTCCGCCTTCGAGGGTTAATTGTTCGCGTAGCAAGGGAAATAATATATTGAGAAAGTCGTGGAAGAAAATCAAGCAGGCGTAAAGAGAACAAAACTAAGGGCGCACACAAATGCAACTGTCAATACTTTTTACGTTACTTTTCTTGCAGGAAAGTCTGTGACATGTACGTTCCATTAGCTCTAAATCGAATCCTTCGCTCGCACCTGTTCGTTTTTTCCACATCTTGCGTTTACGGTCAATTCTAATTTAAACTGAACATTGTTTCAAGGAATTTTAGCTATCTACGGTGAAAGTCGGAATAAGGTGATAGCGAAACACTAGGTGGTATCTTTAATTTGGCGATTTTAGAAAACAACCGTAAAGGAAAATTAATTTTCTCCTACTTATTATAGCTTTGAAAATAAATAGCTACTGGTTTCTTTAAACATCGTATAACTTTAATTAAAAATACTTAAGCCTTTCTAAGAGAGCAATGTTTTCTTAGACTTGACAAAGATGCGGCTTGACTTCATGTTGAAATGAAACTTCGAGGGAAGAAAGAAACACGGAATTGCTTCGCGACTTGTACCATTCTAATGAAACAAGTTGAAACATTTTAACCGAACTGTTCTGCACCGTACAGACAGAAAAGCATTAAAATGCTCGAAAGTTTCAACATAGAAATTAAACGCATGTTTTGCACCACTTTTATGTGTTTGGACATTTGGTTAATTTTTCTAATACCCACTTAAGAAAATTTTATTTTACTTATTCAATTTCGACGAAATTTTCTTCAATTTTCTGCAACAATAAACAGAAAATGTGTAGCCTTTTCAATCTGATCTATTGTGTACTGCAAAAATTGCTCTACGTTGTATAAATATCCTACTATTTCAGTTCTGATTCAAAAAGCTTTCTCTATGCTCTCGACTCGTAATTGTATTCTTTGTTACCTTCATTAACCTCCTTTTCAGTCTGTGAACCTTGTTCGTCCAAATTTAAAATATCCATCACAATGACAATACATAATCACAATGAACTAGTTTCAGTAGGTACTCTCGTTCTCAGTTGATGTCAAGGTTAAAATTTCTTTTATTAGGGATGCTTAACTTCTAGGAGACCCTTTGGAACCTTGACTAGTAAGTAATTCGATTTGTTTGCGACACTTCTTCTAATGATATTCTTCCTTTTTTAATAACGTGTCAGAAGATAAACCAAACAATCGCTAACCCTGATAAATATCTTCTTTTGAATGAAAAGGTGTTAAAGTAAGCTCTGTGTCTGCGTCATAAAGCCTTCCTTGCATCATTTTTAACATCTGCTGAATTCCGTGTAACTTTTGAGATAAGAAAAAGAATTTCGCAATTTGAAATAGTTTCACCTCAGCGGGTAGTTTGAAACGTCAGAATTCTCAAGACAAGTAGGGGTCTAGTGTTGGAAGGTGAACTTCTCAGAGAACTGCCGCGATGGGCGTAACTTTTCCACTGGAGCATCGAAGAGCTGAACACGTAAAACCAAACAACCGGTTGGATAGGGTCGATGAATTTAACCGGCAGTGAGTCAATAGCGTTGGAATCAAACGGCGTCGAGCGATGTTTAACTTTTTCCAGTTAGAATTTTAAATTATCCACCTGCAGACTGCAAGTTGCGGTGCACAGAATTTTTCCCCTTCCCTGCCGTCAGTTACTCGCCTGTTTATCGGCAAACTAATCTGTTCCCAAGACACGATGTCCCAACTTCATCGCAGCAAATATTTATCATCTCTTGGGGAAACGTTTTGCTTTCTTGTTTGTCATCTTTGTCAATCAATGAAATATCTCTCTTTGGGTATCGGTAATTATGTGGTTATCCATTTTGTCGCGTGAGAATGCTTAGCAAACATGATACACGAAACTAGTATTGTTCTTGTTTTGTATGCATTATTTATGCGTCACGAGCTGATTGAAAGATGGATAAAGTAATTTGCTGAATAATTTTCAGCATAGTATAGAATCGATCAAATATTGTCAGTTCATAATTGAATTTTAATTAAATAACAAACAGAATAATGAAATGTAATATGCCAAAATTTGTTGTATAATATTTGCGTCAATCAACGAAATGTAATTAATTTACTTCATAATTACTTGTTACGGAAGTCCTTTAAGTAAACGTCCAATTTAAATCGTGAATAAATTCTTCTAATTACAATGAGAAGCATTTTCTGATTATTACAAAGAACGATTCGATATTAATTAACGTGTCGCGAATTATGAATGAAGTTCAAGCGGACGGAGAAATAGAAGGTTGGTTTCTATTCGATCAAGTCGGCGCCTCTGTTTCGTGTCGCGTTGCAATTTCAAGAATTATTTCACGCAACATCACTCTACCTCACTGGACGTCACTTCAAACTACCCGGGACGTGTAAAAGTATTACATGACTTGATAAATATTGCATACTTATCGAGACTTATAAAACACGCGATGTACAGGGGATCCTACTCTAAGTTTCAAATTAAGTGGATTTTTCGACCCTAACCTGAAGGGTTCATTTCACCCCTTTGACGTAGACAATTGTATAATAATTAGACATGATTAATTCAGTGATATTAACCCTTTCGTTATGGCAAATATTATTATAATATAATTTACATAATAATAGTTTTCAAAAATTATACTTTCATATCTGTAGATCTATTCTTGGATGTCGATGATGGATGCCCGTGTTAGAAGTGAAAGGGTTAATTATCCAGAACTTAGTTCGATATGAATCAGCAGAAAAGATCGTTGATCGATGGTGATTTACCGTCATGCAACGGGATATACTTACAATAAACAACCATAGAAGCACTCGCAGATTGTTCGGCCGCGAAAGTGGATATGACGCACGTGTATTCGCCTGTAAGGTCGATGCCGGGCTTATTCAATTTCATGGCTCGGTACTCGGTGTACGGATCGTCGCTGGCTTTGTACTTCAGATCGACGTACTTCCGCGTGATGTCCCCGGCCAAGGGGTCCCTGCCATATATCCATTGGTAAGCCACTTCGTTGGCGTTGAAGAACCATTTCACGACTAATCCCTTGCTCGACGTGTTCTCGAGATCGTAGTCACAGTCCAGGATCACGTAATTGGTGTCGCCAGCCTTCACAGTCCCCGGTACGTTCACGCTTTTTATCACGAGCTGCCAGCATTCTGAAAAACCATAAAAAGAGCAGCGTTGAAAAAAAAAACTGTCGGTGATCGATTCACGGGGAGGCGAACGTTTCTTCTTTCCTTTCTTCGTTTCCATATCGAGGGAAAATTTGTGGAACAGCGGTGAACCGCCGTGGTAGGAAAAACGAGGGCGAGGACTGTGATATCCCTTTTTACGACGGACGATCGACAACGAGGATAGGAACACAGTTTTGCTTTGATATATGGATAGTATACTTGCATACGTGTCGTTTAAAGATTAATCGTGTTCGGAAAAGTATGTTACCGCCGATTGTTTATTGGAATTTCAAAAGTATCTTTTCTAATTCGCTGCAATTTTTAATCACTATGCACTGGTCGCTTGATAGCATCGCTTTTAGAGAAGTTTGTTGCATTAACCAATAGCTGCACACGATTTCCTGGAAGCATCATCGTACACTGATGCATCTCTCGTAACGTTCTTCGACTGCATAGACAGTTTCCGCCAGATCAGAATCGCGATACCGTCCTCAATTATGATAAATTGCATACAATTATGTTGGACTCTGGCACGCTTCGCGGCGAGTTAGAGTTCGTATCTGGCTGATAAAAGGGTAGACGAAGGAAGGTAGACATGAGAATGAACGATTTGCATGCTACCCACTTAATCAACACTCACACCTTATGAACGATCCTTTACCACCATCTAAGGGACAGGGTCTCTTCGAACTGGCTTATCGCGATACGAAAAATGGTCGAATGTCATGCTCGCCAATATTTGCAACGATAATCTCAGACTCGCATCACCCTTTGAAACAAAGCGTTTGGATGTTTAAGGACGACTACCACCGCCTGCTGCTTCAACTTTTGAGAAATTACCCATCAGGCTAACTTGGCCGAGCGAACTTTCAAAGGAAGAGACGTCGGAAAACTGTAATTTCGCGTGAAAGCTGGTGATTTTTATAAGAAATATAGAAGTTTTGTGTCTTCTTCATCCTTTTTCGTGTTAGGGGTGGTTTAGTCGTTGTCTTGCTATATCGGATTTAGGTGCTTATTATTTTAATATGTGATTGAAAAAAGGAAAAACATTAGTTTTAGAAATATTAACACGTTTTCTAAATTTTTCTTATTGTAGACATAATAACCCTCCAACGGCGGACCATGGAGAGGGTCTCCATTTTTTTAGAAGGATTTAGGGCAAAGTGAAACAGTTTGAATGTAATTAAAATTTATACAATATGTGTGACCATATGTTAAGCTGCGGCTTGGAAATTTCACTAATTTTATTATTGCCGAGTTTACTTCTGACGAGCCGCAATCACGTTCCGTTCTAATCATTCAACTTTGAGAAACAACCCGTTTTCTACTTATGTATTCGCAGTTTGTAGATGTTCAAGACCCTGTGAAACACGGCGAATGTAATTGCGATGTTCCTCTAATCATAGAGTTCTGTGTTCTCCTCTCCACTGCTCTTTGGTTCGCTCTCTTGCTATGATATTAGATGTAATTCTGAACAGAAACTATAATATGTTTGCACTATTTCTAATTCTAGTACACAATTCTAGATGTTTGGCATTTTGTTTTGAAATTCTTTGAAAATGGCTTATTTCGGATTTGTATTTTCCATTTCATTGATTCGATTGCTTGCGTCTTCGGGTAAGACAATCCCAGTAATTTACGTCTAAATCAGTGATACTGATAGACGAAACTTATCTCCTTCGATTATCCGTGAAATTTATAATAGAAATCTTGACGGTGCATCCCGCATCTCCGTTCCTGATTGAAACATACAAAGACCCGACGCAATTTTCCGGAACATCGAGAAACAGGATTTTGGAGTAGTGGCTTGTTTGCTCGTTCCCCCACTCGACCACTACCAACCTGAGAATTTATAAACGTATCTGCATACGCAATTTTCACGCTCAACCTCCTGGAAACGGGATTAAATTTAAGATAATGGTATGCTGAATATACATGAATTCTTTCTCTGGATGCAATAATAAATCAACTAAAACGATATTCTGATATTGATTCGACCCGTTCGGTTTTATCGTTTCCTTTTGTCATCCTCCGGCGATTTTCCGTTGATTAAAAAATATTATTCAATGTTAATCATTAGAAATATTAATGTCATTCTTCGAACGATTATTATGCCATGAATTGTATAAAATTTCGAATAGAACCTATATCTGAGCTAGGTTCTTATATAAATAAATAAATTTCAAGAATCTTCTTTTTATCTGAAAATTTTGTCAATAACTGCAATGTATTTTCAATTTTTTCATCCGTATAGAGGAACTAAGAGGCAGTGCAAATTTAATATACTCGGCTGTTATTTCCGCCGTATGTTTATTCTGGCTTGATGGAATATTGTAGTTTTCAAGCAAGTTCTCTCGTGCAAAAGGGACAAAATCGAGATTGGAAAAACGTAGGCTTAACTGACGGTTCAGTTTTCGATACTGATCTGACTTGCAGAGATCTGAGTAGTATTAAATCCGTTCGGCTATACGTATGTTTAATTCATAACTGTAGTTATCGATCAGTAGATATTTAGAAACAGCATACATTTGCAGACAGAGAGCATAGGTTAACAGTAGCTGCATCTTTCAGTTAGGAATACTTCGTGCATGTTTCTTAAACTTGAACATCGTTTATTAGAGTTATTAGTCTATTCTCTTTGTATTCTGTTCCTATAATATGTATATACCCGGTACAGCTTTGAAAGTTACGATGAAAAGTTTTAACCCTTTGAAGTTTGACATTTTAAATGAACAGGTAAAAGTATCAAATTAAAAATTTCAGAATAATTGGAAAAGTGATAATTATATGATGTAGTTTGCATAAACTTTCACACGTAATTTTCTCAGTAATGGTTTTTTATAATATAAAAAGGAAATGCCAAATTACAAGGATCATTGGTTCCGTAAAAAGATGTAGCTACTAAAGTATTAAGTGCATCTAATAGATCAGAAAAACACCGGTAACAGGTTGAAGTACGCGGCACTTAAGTCGGAGCTTATTAGTCCACGGAGGATCCGGTAATTTTCTTAAGTGTCTTAGCCCTTCCGGTATCGTTTATCGGGTATCGTATTTTACATGCGCTGACGGAACCAAGGCGTACGTCCGGATACGCTACAATTAACATGATTACTTCACGCGGTGGCGGTGGTGGTGGTGTCTAGGGTAGTGTAGCCGCAGTGTTCATTCCGTGTTTGCTCATCGTTGCCGCTGTGTACTTATCTCGATATGTCCACATTGCGACGAAGGAGCCCGGAGAATAGTTTATCTGCAATTAGGGGTTGCGGTGAGAATATTCTCCGGGAAACAGCACCATGACTGTTAATCCCTTAAGTCCTGGCTCGAACTCGGGATTGCTATCGGAAACGGGGCTGGAATATCCGACGGATGAAGAAAGTTACGACGAAAAGACGCAATATGACGAAGGTTTTCTTGATTCGTGCCGGTCGATCGAATCCCCTTTACGGACATTGGCTCGAATTTAAATAACGTACAGTTCGGCCAGCATCGAATAAGCCAGGAACAGTCGAATCCCTGCTGGAAAATTCTTGAAATAAATAGTCCGGGGAAATGATAAGAAGCGAAGTGGATTTTTGGCGGAAGCAACTTTTACGGAGCTCCGGCAATATGGAAAATGTACGAGAAATTGTTTTCCGGTTATGTCCCAAGAAGATGTTAAATAATGGTTTTGTGGATTCTTAATGTGACAATTTTCAATCGGGTTTAAATCAATATAAATTTTAGCAGATATATTGATGATTTTAACACGATTAGAATATTAATTCTAAAATTGACGTACCTTTTCCATTTCAGAAATTTATGTAAGCTTTCCCACGGAGCACTCTGTACGTGCTCGAAAACGAAGCTTCTTAAAATCCATCTTGCTCAAGAATATCTGCTAGGTGGAAAATAAAATCTTGGCTACGTGCCTCGGGCTAAAGACACAATGTTTGCAGTTTTCTTGCTTGCGATTAGCAATTTTCACGCGATGAAAGTTTGCCCTGTTTATTGACCCAAGGCACGACGAATTCAATTGAAACATTTTGATCTTAAAAATCTAAATCTGCTTCGATTGTCACCAGCTTTCAAACAAGATTCTTGAAATTTCTTTGATGAATATAGATCAGTTGAAAGAATAAGGAAGAAAAATTGATCATTAGTATAATTTTCACTTTGTCCTTCACGAAGGAGGAGCGTAGTTCGTAGTCTGCATTAATTAAGGTCGCTAGTCACATGCAGGTCTCACAACTAGTTTCTGAAGTCGCTTCATTCCGCATTCATTCCTCTCTGCATTCAATTAAATAATTCTTCTGTAAAACCCGCCACCGGCTCCACTAACGAACTAGTATTCTTAGAAACCTGTCACGCATTTAATAGGTTCAACAGCGCCAGAATCTGAACTAAGAAAATTCATGACCCCTTTGTGTTCGCTTTGAGAAAATTTTCAATGGCTCATTTCTGTATTGACACGACGATGAATTTTTATTCGACCCGTTTTAAATGAATGTTACAAGTAAGTTCCTTACAATCATTGTATTCTTCAATTAGGATTTTAATAAATTTCAATAGCAGCTTTCAACTTGCTTCGGTTCCTTTTTTTCTATCGATAGGAATAATATTTTAAGACTGTTCAATGTTAATTGTAGCGTTTAATTGATTGATAACGCGTTCGTCAGTTGTGTCATCTCACGATGACGTTCGTGCTATAAGCACTAAATTCAAGAGACAATAATTCAACCCTTATTCCAAAAGTTTGTTCATGTCAAACTCCTTTTCCCGGAGTTTCCATGTGTCTGCTTAGCGTGTCAGCTTGCCATCTTGCCTGCTGGTCCAGTTTATTTTTCTGCTTTCCCTAGATGCTTCCACGAATAAACGCGGCTTGAATCTAGAACGAGTACGAACACCGGCAGTGGCTATCTATGATGCTGATCTTTTCCCGTCTAAAGGGTCGTATATGACTTGTCAGTAATTCAACTACCCAGTTCCATAGAACATTACCAGGC